ACCGCAGCTGTCTGGCTAATAAAAAGCTGGCACGTGTTCAAATCGCATGACCTAACAGACAAGTGTTGTAAAGCGCAAGAAAAAACGACAAAAGCTGCGTACTTGGCGCAAACTAAACGCCAAGACCTTTAACTTAACGATAAATAGAAAGCTAAGATGATATATTTAATGAACTAACGAGACTGAAAATTGGAGAGGTCCGAGTGCGGAGGAGATTGCGAAGGTCTCATCCAATCCATCTCTCAGATCGGTTTATGTAATAAGCTTCCTTTCAAACAAAAACAAAATCCTCTCCTGGTAGACTTATCTTCAGAAATAGTTGTATTAATATTTATTTTATGTAAGTTTCACTTAAACTGTGTAATTAATAAGAATAAAATAAAATAGAATATAATATTTAGATATATTTTATTAAAGATATATCTATGTGGTCCTTTGTTAACATTTGACACAAATCGGGTTTTGTTTTAAAAAATACATATATATATAAAGGTGTTTGAAGAAGAATTTAACTTTTTGTTCACTTGTCAGCATTTCTATAACGAAGAATAAAGTAACTGGTCAAACAAAAGCCATTAAAAAGGAAAATTTTACTAAAGGCTTTTCTTTGCTGATATACTACGAAAAGACGTTACTTCGGGAGCAACCCTCGCAACAGTGGCTATCAAAAAATAATTTCAGTTGACAGGCAGCAGTCAGCGCCACGTCACAAATCACAACAACAACAACAACAACAACAGCAACGAAAACAACAAAAAATTGAAGTGACAAGAAGCAGATCAGCAGCAACCTAGGGTGGACCAAATGCAAAGTAGCATTGCACGCAGCAACAACAACAACAACAACAACAATAAGAATAAGAATAAGAACAGCAACCGGCATGAGAAACTACTTGAAACGGTGCCAAGGGGGAGGCAGAGGCCACAGCAGGACACTTCACGGACGAATCAGGGCCACGGTTCATTTACGTATCAAATTGGAACTTCCTTTGGGAGCAACTTCGTCTCAGCCTGCGCTGATGAAGATGCCGTGGATGATGCTGATGCTGATGCTGATGATGATGATGTAACTCCCAAAACGCAGCTAATACGTTTTTTGTGTCACAACGAGGCAGGTAGGCAGCGGGGCCAGGCAATTGGGAACTGGCACTGTGGAAGCGGAAGTGCAGCGAGAGTATCTCACAGATACGCATATTAATGGCACTGATTGTGCCGCACTGATAGCTGGCGACCGGCTACTTGAATTACATTTACATGGCACTCGTCCCGTCTTTGACCCCGCCACCGTCACCGTCACCGTCTCCGGCCCAGTCTCAATTTTATATCTAGATAGATATATCTGTATCCGTCACAATTGCGCCGCCCGCACCCAAGCCGGCAAGAATCCGTCAACCCGTCCTAAGCGCATTACGACAATGAATGCGAATGCGAATGCGACTGAGAAAGAGAATGGAACGATTTAGTATTCGGCATTCAGTTTTTAGATTCATTCATGAAAATCTGAGGAGATCTTTGTGCAGTTTTTATTATGTCAGACGGATGAGTTTGTTTACCTCGCCGATATACGAGGCGAGCTGCTAACACAGATGCAGATAAGATACAGATACAAGACTCGAGATACAAATACCGATACATATAATGTGTGAATCGCAGCAAGAAATGGCAGCGCCTTCGTCTCTCATCCCCAGCTCCGATGCGGATGAGGCAATCCAGCGGCTCGTAAAACTCATCTGGCCACTTTTCCATCGCCGTAAATCTTTGACGGCATCGCGTAGTCAGAGCCACTGGCTGCACATCAAAGTGGCGCCCTCAGTGCGACCACATGAATCGCAACAGGCGAACATTGTTGCCACAGTCTGCACAGAGCTGCCAATTGAGGAACAAATAAGACAGAACAAAAAATATATATACTCATTAATTTCTAATTAAATAATAGTATATGCAAGTTTTTTAGTTTTGCAGATTTACTTGGATTAAAATGGTATCATTTGGAGAATATATCATATAATGATAATATAACATAATTATATGCACGAAGATTATATATAGAAGGAATATAGGAGAAAATTTTTCATAATTTTTCTAAGCACATATTATTGATTTTCATTCCACACGCAGCTTTGGAAAATTGATGGGGAAAACTATTGTATTAAATTATTTTGTTTTTCATAAGATCAGGTTGAAACTGATTTTCACAAGTATATCTGAATATATTTGTTAGATATGTTAGGTTACAGATGTAACCTTGGGCTGACCTTGCAATTATATACGATGTGAATTTATAATGTAGTTATATTTAAATTAGCATTGACTAGGACAAAGTTTTTAGTTGATATTTTCAAACAATTACCGAACATAACCTAACAAATTGTGCAGCTATAATCAAAGCAACGCAGGGTTGCATGTGGCATGTGGTAAAACTACCTGCTGCCAAGTATTGAATGCACATCTGCTACTATCATTATTGAGTGGAATGGCCCATTAATAACTATATGTAGTTGAGAAATGTATAATTTAATTGAGTCGTTTACTAAAATTTGACAACCTTCATTAGTTTGTTACGGCTTATGGATGGCAGCCAGATAACATGAAGAGAGCCAACTGCTAAACTAGCTGGTAACTGGTAAATGTTTACTGGTAACTGGTGAGAGGGATAAGGGGCAACATCCGCTTACCCATTCCACTTTGCATGTGCATGTGCATGTGGTGACCATTGACGATTGGGCGATTGAACTTGTGCTGAGCTGCTCAACTGCAATTTGGTGATCATTAAAATGGTTCCGCTGCGGAGGAGTCAAAACGTTTACACGGTCTCAGACACTAACCGAAAGTGTCATTGGGCCCGGGGTCGGGCCCGAGGCGAGGGCCCAGGGGAGCAATTCGCGGAGCTCGAGTCCGAAAACGAAACCATGTGGGAAATGAGCAATAAAAACGCAGCCAGGAAATCGAAAGACAATAGAATTGCGGCAACCCGGCATCGTAATTGTTGGCGTTGGTCATGGTGAACCGTAACAACAGCAACTGTCAGGCTTCAGTGTGATGCCCCTCTCTGGCGGCGGGGTTGCAGGGCATTCACACTGCACAGAGACAGACGACCCCTGGCACAACAAGTGTAGCTAACACGTGCGTGGGAGCTGTGAGCCCGGCCAGGGGTCTAATTAAGGCTTAATACACACACACACACATGAAAACGACCTGGCAGCAACCTGCAACATGCAAGCGGTAACAGCTGTTGCTGACAGGAGCACTGGCCACCTCGCTGTATGCTGCACGCTGCACGCTGCCCGCCAGCCCTCGTTCTAACTAGCTGCTCAGATGTTGGCATCTAAGTGTGTTTACGTAGATTTATGTAAATTAGCTGGCCAACAGCGTCCTTTTCAAAGGCGCAAATGATTCCCAGAAGGCAGCCAACGGCTTGGCCCTGCTGCAGCAGCAGCAGCAACTCTTTCGCTTTCGCCTTTGGGCCGTGTTTCATTCACGTGAAAAGTGAATTTTATTTAATTTACATAGGCACACAATAAACTGAACAGCAACAACAAGAAAGAAAATGTAGCAGGAATGTGCATTGCTTTATGACATTGTTGTAAACCCTTTTAGCACACACACACACACACACACACATGCACATGCACACGCACACGCACACGCACGCACACACACGGCATGCGCAGTTCCTTTCCCTGCACCAGGACAGACAGCCTGACCACCCTGGCCACTGTTGATTTTTCGCGGTCTAATAAAACAGACCGTTGGAAAAAAAGGTTTGGGCAGCCAAAGAGTTGAGGCTTGGACCCGTTAACCGAACCGCCGACCGCCGCCGCCGCCTTTGCCGCATCGTGCTAAATGCTAAGAAAAATCAGTGCATTTTTCCACGGAAATCACAAAAACCTTTTGGTTTTTCACCGACATCCCGCTAAACGGCGGCCGCGGCCCTTTTATGCCCGGGGTGTGAGTATTTGCATAACTAACTGTAACTGGCCCACGGTTTACCATAAATCCGCTTCGTCCGAGTCCCTCACATAGCCTCAAACGAGGCTGATTTAGCCAGGCTTAAGTCTCGTATATAACAAATATTTATAGTTATTTTTTATTTTATTTTTTCTTTACTTGGAAAAACTTTGAATTTATAGTTAATAAATGATATGATATATTATTATTAACAAATTGATTACACAAATATTTTTTTAGATATACATTTTATTGAAAACAATTCATTTAATAAAGTTTCGCTTGCATTTCTAAAAACTAATTGAACTAGTTTCGAGCTGATCTGCTTGAGTCCCAAATGCCAAGTTTTTTAAATATGATCCTCAATATTTAAGTGTGCAACAGCCTTAAGATCATCTATTTATTAAATAATACTTTAAGTAAAACTCTATTAAGAAAAAAAAATTCAATAAATTGAAATTTATTTGTAACATAAATTGTAAAAAGTATTTCAAGTAAAAAAAAAACATTCGAAATATATACATTTTCTATACTGTATATATTAATGTATTTAGATTGATTGAAATTTCAGTGTAAACATGAGGCACTTTCGAGTTCGTATATTTCCCTAGATACGCAGCAAGCAACCCACGCACTGCGAGAATTTAAGTTTGCGAATGGGTGGGGGGCCTGCCCAAGGCCAGTACGGATGACACACGGAGAGACGGCCAGTCGATCAGGCCACCTGGCTAGAGCCAAAGTGCAGGCTGGAAGCTGATAAGCTATCAATGGGCCAATGACTGGGCGAAACTGGGACGCATGAATGTTTGCGTGCGTGTGTAAGTGTGTGTGTGTGTGTCGAAACACGATAAAATCAACAGCGCGACTCAATATTAAGTAACAAAAAAAAAAAAAAAAAAAAAAAATGTTGAGCGTAGCAAAGTTTATTTGAGGCATACCAAATATATATGTATTTGCAATGCGGCCCAAATGGGGGGCAACTGGCGATTAGCTAAACTGTGGCAGCTGCGGCCAATGCTGTGATGTTGATGGACTTGGAACTGGTGATGGAGATGGTCATGGTGACGGTGATGACGATGGCTATGGACACGATATGGTATTGGTGATGCGCTCTAGTCATGAGGTGCTTGTGCTATAAACAGTCAACAACTTTGAGGTAAATGCTATGCTCGCTGGCGAGTAGAGCAAATTTGGCATCGAACGTGATGCGTTCCACGGTCTTGTCGCAGAACTCGACGCGATGCTGGCGAAGAAAGTAGATGAGTCCCAGTTTTATCTGTAGCTGGCAAATTGGCAGTCCAATGCAATTACGCGGCCCGGCGCCAAACGGCAGATACGACATGGGAGTCTGCTTTGATTTGTTCTCGGCGTTAAAGCGTTCCGGATCGAAGCGTTCTGGTTCTGGCCAGTACTGCACGGGGGAATAGCAGGCAATATTTGAATATATATGGCAGAACGGTTGAGGTATAATATGTTTGGCGTTACCTGGGGATCATGGTGTATTGCCAGATTGGATATGAAGACGGGCATGCCGCGCCGGGCGTAACACTCGGCGTGTGGGCGCAGCGAGTAGAAGCGCTTCTTGTTGACGGGCGAGCACTCGCGTTCCAGCAGCGGCACAATTGGATACTTGCGCAGCGTCTCCTCGACAACCATTTCCAGATACTGCATGCTCCCGATGAGCTCATAACTCAGACCCGGGCCCGCGCCATGGGAACCGTGAGCAGCTGCCAGAGCGAAGGCATGACGTATCTCACGGCGCAATCGCTCCTGCATCAGCGGCTGCTTGGCCAGCTCGTACAGGGCGAAGGACATGGTCGACGAGCATGTCTCAATGCCCGCCACTTCGAAGCTGGCCGCTTGGGCGGCCAGAAAGTCTTGATGGTGCGTAAAGTGTGTCTTGTCCTGCTGAAGATCGGCCTCCTTCTTGAGCGTGAGCAGCATTTCAATGAGATCATTGCGCAGATCGCCGCCCCGTTCACGCTCGTCGATCACCAGTTGGATGACACGGCGCAGGAATTCGGAGTGCGGCTCCGTAAACAGCTTGCACCGCAACAACGGTACCAGCTTGGGCAGAAAGAATATCACAAAGAAGTCTATTATACGGCGCACATTCGGCCTAAATATGTCCTGACAATGTGAACCGATCTCAGACTGCGTGTTCCGCAGACTGTATGAACGGAGTCCAAATGCGATGCTCGCAATCATGTCTGTGTTGTACAGGTCGCACACATCCTTGATGCTCACTACGACGCCCCTGGCGGCATCCCCACGTCGCAGATCGCGGGTCAAGCGCTTCAGATACCACTCCAGATCGCAGCCAATCTAGGGTCGTTCAATGATAATTATACATTAAAAAGCACAACGAATGCTTATATTGAATATATTTGTTTGGCTACACTGTGCAACAAAATCTTCAAGACGTACAGTGCATGCAGAAGGGGCAGTGTGTATAGACTTCACCAAGTCTATCAATAAATAAAATTTCCTAAATAATTTACCAAATACAAATATATAACTAAATTTGTACCATACACAAACATATATATATATATATATACATATCTATCATTTGGTAAATTACAGGAATTTCCCAAAATGTCGTATCGTGTAATTTACCGAATGAGCGTAGACTAACTGTATATTATTGGCACGCAATTATACTGTATAGCATATAAACATATATTCTCCTATTTAATTGTTCACTATATATCGAAAGTTTCGTTAGAAATAAGCGGCTAAACATAATGAAGAAAAAAACAAGTTATTCTATTGGATCATCAAGACAATAATATTTACACTATCTAAGCAATATATTTGTTGACATTTGAATGTATAAGCATGTTTAGCTTATGGAAAAATAAAAAAAAAATCCTAACGTTTTATTATTGAAAGTGTAAAGTCTATAATATGAATATGAAACCGACTGCTCGTTCCTCTGGTGTCTCAATTTTCTTGAAAATCGTGTTGAACTTTGCTACAGAGGCTTCAATGACAGGTTTCTAATACATATGATATATGATTGTTTATAGTTTGCATTGGCCAGCCTATTAGAAATGAATTGATACTTCACAGATTAAACTTATAATTGGCTGTTTTGCTGAGAAACGATTTGATCGATATTCGCATATTAGAAATTCATTTCCTTTCATATTCGATTGCCTGTCCTATTAAAGTGACAAAACAAAGCTTGATTTTGTTGCACAGTGTATGTGTGTTGCTTGCTTGGCTAACTAGGCAGACACTAACCTCCTCCATGAGTGAGAACATTTGCTTGATCTTGGCGCCGGTGAAGACCGGCGAGAGTCGCGTGCGTATTTCGCGCCACTCGGGCTGCCTGGCGAAGAACAGATTCAGGGAGCCCATCTTGTCGTGGCGCACATCACATTTGGCAAACCGATTGGAGAAGCTGACAAAGTCTTCGACTAGAACGGTGCGCACCAGCTGGAGGTCGCGTATGAGCAGCGCCGGCTGATGGAACAGGTAGATGCCCACGACGGGCTCGTTGCGGAAGCGCTCGTCAAAGTAGAAGCGGCGCAGCTGCAGGGCGAACGACTCCTCCAGCTTGAGCACCTTCTTCAGATTGCCCAGCAGATGCGTTGGCTGCACGAACTTGACGCGGCGTCGCTGCCAATAGACGTAGGTGCGGCGCGACCAGATGAACACAGCGGTCAGTATGGTCACAATGCCTAGCAGTATGTTCGTGGAGTAGACCATCGCGAGTGAGCGAGACAGTGTGACCGGCGAGAGCGAGTAAGAGAGAGCGCGGGTGCGTAAGTTTGCGAGTTCGTAAGTGTTTTGTGTTTTGTTAGCTGCTGCGGGCTGAGACTGCGTCTCTGACTGCGGCGCGGTTGCGGCTACTGCTGCGCTTTAATGCGGTTGCACTGGGGCACAATCGGGTCCGTCGTGGCACGCTTGTGCCAAATACAAATAAATAAATACTTAACAAATTATATCACAATCAAGTTTTGGTCTGCGCGGCGGCCACGACGGCAACGACAGCAACGGCAATAAAAACAATGCGGCGACGTCAACAACAAAAACTGGCAAGAAGAAGAAGAAGAGGCAGAAGAAGACGAGCAGAGCAGTAACAGAAGAGTATCACATATACACATGCACGCCAGCACGACACACACGCACACACACAGGCACACACATGGAACTGAGAATAGCGAGAACACAAAAAAACGCGCTAGCAAGCTCTACAAGCCGACGCAATAAACTGACGTGACGTCGACAACACTGCTGGCCCAACGGGCCCCAAAAACTTAAATTGCGAACACTACGCGGCGACGTCGGCGTCGCCGCTCCCGATTATCAACAAAAGCAGAATACAAAGCAAAGTCAGCGATTGACAGGCCACAACAACCGCAACTGGCGTCGCAAACGCCCCCGTCATCGTGATTAACCGCAAACAGTTCACGCTTGGCAAGGGGCAGCTAGATGAGACGGCAGCAAACAACGACGCCGCTGAGATCTACTTACGCTCTTAAAGCGCAGTCCCATCGAAATAACAACGACACAACGAAATAACAACGACACAGCACCGGGAGAGTAAAGAAAACGCTCTCCTGAAATCGGCACATGTGCACCTGCACACTGTCCCTAGCACTTGACAATTAAAAGCATTTATTATTTCTAGATAATAGTGTACATTGGCATATTATTCTCCATAATCCTGCAGACAAAAACTTTTTATTGGTATTAAAAACGTTTTTTTCTTGGCAGATCGCATAAACATTACTTTATACGAGAATGTGTATCGCAAAGCTTGAAACTAAACGTTAACATATAGTTATACATATGTATATGTAACAATTATTGTCCGCTAATACATTGAAAAAAAGCCCAAGTTAGCGCATTCGTACCACTGTGCGCAAGAGTCTCAACACAAATGCCGACCAAAAATAAAAGTGAATATTAAAAGCTAAACAACGATAGCCACAACAGCGGCAAAGCCGATAGCAACTACTCCACGTGACAAAGCTGTTCACGAAAACAAACTGCGCTCGCAAGAACCAAGCACGAACAAAGCGAGCAGCAGTGAGAGTGAGAGAGGCGCCGCAATATCAAAGCTTCCACGGGGCACAGCGAGAAAGAGCGAGGGTGAGAGCGCCGTTGCTGTTTTAAAAATAAACGCATGTTCACGTTAGCTCGCCTGATGTTCTTATTGCTATTTGCGTTTTGTTTTCGTTTCTACTTCATCATACTCATATGTACATACATATGTGTGTTTGTGTGTCTTGAACAATCAACCAGGGCGCACACAACAACGAAGCAAGCACAATATTTGCGGCCAGGGCTACGTAACGCTATGACAATGCCAAGCAACGTTGAAAGTGCGCGTAAATTGAATCTTGGTATTGGCAAGCTGCAAACTAAATTCAACAAATCGCTTACCGTTCTACCAATTGTTAAGCAAATTGTTGTAGACAGACAATGTTTTGTCGAGAGCAGGAAAACGGAAACTCCATTTACAACAATTGACAAAAATTTGCACTTGTGTGTAAAACTTTGACGTACATACATACACAAGTTGGCCCCATTGTCTATACACTAACAAGTCATGCGGCATTACAGCTATGCCAATAAGATTGCTATGCTTACTTATTTCTGCATTTATATATGCACATAAATGTATATACATATGTGTTATAAATAAAAATTCGATTTTACAGTTATATTTGCAAGTATATCAAATTGATGTGTGATAATAAATGCCCTTAGCTAATAAAAATCATGAAAGGGTGTGCCAAATTCGTTACACGATTTCCAAAAAAAAACGTTTTCTTTCTCTCCTTTTATCGTGTTGCCCATTTTGTGTAGAGACAACACCCGAAGCAAGTTACAGTTACAAATGTGCAACATTTCCGGTTGCTTCAGTTTGGGATACCAAAATCTGTTGGCCACAGTGATGGGCTGAGAGCGGGTTATGTAGTGTGTGGAACTCTGGGAAGGGGCGGCGGCGTTCGCCTTGCTTTGATTAAATTTCACGCACGACCGCATGACAAGGGGTTGGGTGGTTGGGTCTTTGCACAGTGGAACGGTTGCTCTGCGAATCGAAATTGGAAATGGGCAATACACACACACACACATACACACAGGCACGCACACTTATACAATCAGACTGCAGTTCGATTTGCATTTGTCTTCTTCGCGCGAAGTGTTTGCTGTTCAACTCGAGTGTTCACCTTCCTCTCCCTCCACATTACCCTTAACAAACCCACCCATCCGGGCGCGTCGCGTAGCCGGTGATGTGTCAATAATCGGCGTTGCTTATGCACACAACGGCTCTGCAAACACGCGCGCACTTGTCGTTGCGGTGGTGGGCGGGGGTGGGGTGCGGCATCACCCCCTCTGCCAGGCATCAAATTCAGTTGAGCCACGGTTCAGCTCGGCTCAGCTCAGCTCTCGGGGCACAAATCAAAGCCGTCTCAATAAACAAACAATGTGCACATTTCATGCCCAGCCCCCGCCACCCACTGAACCCACAGCACAGGATTTGCCTGCGCCTTGTGCCATTTAGTTTTGGCAGCGACTATGTTTTGATTCCATTTATGCTGTTGACACTAGAAATCTTTTAATTATTGTCACGCATTGTGCCCGCACCCAGCACACGCATCCAAAACAAATAAGGACTGCAGCTCTGCCCCGTTTCCAGTCCCAGTCCCAGTCCCAGCCCCAGCCAAACCAATCTTCCGCGCTCCTTGTGGGGTTGCTGCACTAGTTTTTCAGTGCTGTTGACATTTTGGTTTTCTTCTGGGAGTTGCGTCAGGTGGCAGCACTTACAGAACACGCCCTTACGCCTTCTAAGTGCCGGGTGCCACATCGTACATGCTGCACAATGATTATGATGACGAGTTGGGGGTTCCCGGGTGTTGGTTACAATAATTTGTGTGCTTGCGGAATTAGTCAGCATTTGCCCGGGGATAGATAACATGACACTTTTACGTACCGCAGTTAGGTTTAGAATTCGATAATTCTCGTAATATAATCAACAATTTCTGGAAAATCGGGGATTAAACTTGTTTATATATATTCTTTAATCAACTTATGCTTGGACGTGTTTTTTCTTCAAGCAAATTTATTTAGAAAAGTGAGATCAGAAAATATCTCGAATATTTTCGATCAATTACCCGGCCTTGCCTTGTCCAATATTTGATCTGAAGATTTTCGACATTGCCTTTCCACCTATTTTCCGCCGTGGGAACCTAAATGAACCCATACTACCGTGAACTCCATGTCTTATTTTATATAAAAATGTAATTGAAAATGAAACTTTCGCTTTTTCACCAATTATTCACCTAGAAGGGGTAGATACCCTTTAGAATCGGAGGGTTGGTATGTAATAGAGTTGCGTGCAATCGTTTTTCACCAATTTTCCACTGTTGCACGTGGAATTGCATCACATATGGTAAAAATGGTTAATTCTCTAATCATACGGATGGATTACTGTAATATTTATAAAATGGATATACCAAGTCCTTATCAGCATTTAATCCCCGTCATTTTCTTATTATTCGCTCTTATATAATTCCATATTCATTTCAGCACAAATAAGTGAACATTTTCAGCTACATACATTCATATGTGCCTAAGTATTCTACTCCGTTGGTCAATCCGAGCTCTGCACCTGCATCAACTGGAATTGCATCGTGGCACACACATGAATAGTCCAGTCCAGCAAATCCTAAGGAAATCCATGCGGGCAACAAAAGAAATGATTCCATCAGATGTTAGTCATATCCAAAACATGTGTGTCTCTGTGTGTGTGTGTGTTTTGATTTAGATTGAGATGAAGATGGAGATGTTCCCGGTGCCCATTGATGTCGTTGTCGGTGCGCTGAGATAAAGTGCGCAAAATAGCTGCGTAATTTGACGTTAATGTTACGCTAATAATAATCTGTCAGCTCGCATCAGGCATGGGCCCCTGGCAGGGCAAACAACACATATGGGCGATTGTAAGGATGTTGGTGTACCTACCATGTCCCAGATTCCAGCCTCGGCAGCAGCTGATCCTTATCGCGCGCGTGTGTGTGTGTGTGTGTGTGTGTGTGCGTGTAGCTCCGATTACAATCAAAATGCGAATGAGTATGCGAATGCAGCACGTAATGTGCTTAGAGTCCTGTGAGGCGACGTAACGACCTTACGAGATGCCGCCGCTGCCGTTGATCGTGGACCGGAGGTCCGTAGTCCCCGCTAGACCCTAGTCCGTATTCCTTGTGCGGTAGTGTTTTGGGTTCAGTGCCGCTTCATTGTGTTGTGCTTGCCATTTTGACGGGTTTCGATTACGCATGCAGTTTGTTTTTTTTTTTTGTTTGTATCTTGTTTTCCTTCTGTGTTTGTGTGTGTGTGAGTGAGAGTATTATTGGAGATGCTCTGTCATGTGTGTAATCCACTCTGCTCGTTGCTCAAAGTTAAATGATGCGCGCCTAAGTTGAGCAATTTCCAAGGGAGACCAAAGAGGCCGAGGCCGAGGCCGAGGCCGAGGCCCAGTTATAGTTTTCTTTACATTTCACTTATTTTTTTTTTAGACACGCCTCGCCGGCTGATGAAAGCAAATTGCATGAACAAATAGAGCCCAAGACTGGGTGCATTGCAATTAGTGAATGTGTAACAACGTGTATGTCACAGCAAAACCCGCTGGGGGGGCAGCACCACGCCCCTGGCTCCTGCTCCCTGAGGATTTAAATCGTGCTGCAGCCTTGGGCTAATGTATGTAAATCCCGTTTGGGCCTAATGTTCTGGCCATAAAGTCAAAGTCCAACAAATGCAAAGTCAAAACGCAGCAAAAGTGTTTTTTTTTTCTCTGAAAAATAAAAAATAGAAAAAAATCTAAGTTCACAGCATTGCTTTAGCATTTTATATGGAACTAGAAACTGGGTAAATTTACCTTCCAGGAAATGCAAAAAACAGAAAAAAAAACACATCTAAAACAAAAAATATGTAGAATAAAAAGCGATCAATGGGCACGGAGAAGGCAGCAAGATTTGTTCTTTGCGCTGCTCTGAAAACCTAGAAATCTAAATAGTTCAGTTTTTTCAAAGAAAGAGTTGGGCAAAAAAAAAAAAAAAACAAGGACGACAAGAAAAAAGAAAAATAAAGAAGTTATCCCGGCATATAATGCATTTCCGAGTATTAAAGGTAGGCCGGACCGGGCCTTAACCCGTTGCTGCCGCGCACAATTGTTGCAAATTGTTTTTGTATGCTGTGCAGCGATTCGAAGGGGTTAAAAAAGTGCACCCTTTTTTTTTTTAACGCTCGTAAAACAATAAAGTCATAAACCTCGGAGCGACATAAATTAGAAGATGTGGAACAGTGCGCGCCCGAAGGACGACGCACCAGGCCAGGCCAGGCCAGGACGAAGGGTTAAAAAGTGCACGATTTACTTTTATTGCTATATTTTTTTTTCACTTCTATTTACTTTTATTTTTTTATGCGATTCTATTTGTAATCGCCGGCAGTGGGTTTTGGTAATTGTTTTTGTTCGGTTTACAACTTGGTC